TTCTATCTCAAGTCTATCTACTCTATTACCCTCCCATCCCCCTTTTCACTAAACTGAAATTCTATTCCACAAATAAAGTTCTGTTCCCTTTTGCTGTTCCCTTTCACCTCCCTTCCTTGGCCCATACTACTTCCTTTGTATGAAATTCTATTTCCTCCGTCTTTATTTGATTAAGTCCTAATCATGTTAGAGTCTCAACTTAGGTATCAACTCTACCAAGAAGCATCATTGTCTGACTGCCAAGATTGAGATAAGTGCCTTTCCTAATGTATTTCTAAGTGAATCTGTGCATACCCGTATAGGTGATGTCACACTATTAAAATAGGATATTTCCTTATCTGTCTCTTTCCACAAGTCTATAAGTCCCCTGAGAATAAGAATTGTGGCTTGTTCATTTCCAAAATACCACTCACTGTGTATTAGCCCAAAGCCAACATCTAATTCTGGGCAAAGACTAAAGGCTTTCTCATGACAGTCTGGAAGTAGTCAAGGGTACCCACTATCTCCACTCGTTTTNATGTTATGTTCATGTACAGAAAAGGTTAAAATCAGCAAGTTGTCAATCCTTCCTGAGGTAATTTATAAATTTAATGGGACTCCAACATAAATAGCATTCTATTTTTGTTTGTTTGTTTTGGAACTAGCCAAATTGATTATAAAGTTGAATAACAAACAAGCAAGAATAATCAGGAGAACCCTGAAAAAAAAGAACAAAGGGTGTGGGTGATGGGTAAGATACCATTACCAGATGTTAAGACATAAAGTCTCTCTATTTAAAATAGTGTGGTTTGGGCCGGCCCGGTGGCGCACTGGAGAGCGTGCCGCTTGGGAGCGCGGCGGTGCTCCCGCCGAGGGTTCGGATCCCATGTGGAGACCGGTTCCCGCTCACTGGCTGAGTGCGGTGCGGGCGCAACACCGAGGGTTGCGATCCCGTTGCCAGTCCCCGGTGCGGACGCAACACCAAAGGTTGCGATCCCGTTACCGGTCAGTAAAAAAGACAAAAAGGAAAAAAATAAATAAATAAAATAGTGTGGTTTTGGCACACGAACAGATGAAAGACGAAAGAATTGAAAAAACAAAGTCCAGAGAAAGATCGAATGGCATATTGTAATTTTGTATATGATAAGGAGACATCTCAAATTAGTAGGGAAAAGATGGACTTCTTAATCAGTAATATTAAGATTATTGGAAGGCTATAGAGAAATTTTAAATTGGGTCTATTCTTCATAGAAGGATTCTTCAAAAAGATCGTGGAAATATAGAATTGAAAGATAATACAAATCTTTCCATAAACTTTTGAAGTACCTTTGTATACCACACATATATAGGATGTGTATTAGGATATTTTCCATATGAATCAGCAATTCAAGTGTAAATAATAATGATAATAATAAAACTATAAAAGTAGTGCAAGTGAGCATGGGTGATTTTCTCTATCATCTGGGATAAGGGGATGTTAACTATGACTCAAAATGCAAATACAATTTTTAAAAGCATGATAATTTTTACTATACATATATGGCCAGAAGTACTGTAAGCAAAATACATAAACACCTGACAAACTGGGGAAAAAATCTGCAACTTATATAATAGACAAATACATCCCTAATCTATAGAATATTCTATCTTGGGCTGGCCCGGTGGCGCACTGCTACAGTGCACTGCTTGGGAGCACAGCAGCGCTCCCGCCGAGGGTTCAGATCCCACATACAGACCGGTTCCCACTCACTGGCTGAGCGAGGTGCAGGCGCAACACCGAGGGTTGCGATCCCACTGCCGGTCCCGGTCCGGTACGGGCGCGACAATGAGGGTTGCGATCCGTTGCCGGACACGAAAAAAGACAAAAAGGAAAAAAAAAAATAAAAGAATATTATATCTAAAAATGGAGAAGAAAAAGGGCAGTAAACTGTTAGAAAAATTGGCAAAATATATAAACAGACATTTTCACAAGAAAATAAATCCAAATTCTCCTTA